TCTAAAGAGCTATTCCACTGTCAAAGCCCTAAAATCAGGAAATGGGTAGCGAGAAGAGCTTTGTGAAGCTCGAGGCGCTCCCTCATGGCGTCTACGTTCTCAAATTTGATGGTGGAGATGGGCAGCACAGGTGATCCATCCAGTTTCTTACATGAGAATGAGAATCAAAGTGAATTTCAGGTTGAATCCGACCAGTATAGCAGAGATTCATTCGGCGCTTGACAAGGTAATCACGAAAGCAATCTCTCTCTCAGTCGCGCAAATTCATTTGCACTTCCAGGTTGAGGATGATCCCAAGGCAGCTGCTTTGATCACTACGAATGAGGTAAAACAGCGAAAACATCTAGGAAGAAAGAGTTTGATTTTTTTTTTCTTTGGACAGGGAAAGTTTTTCTCGAATGGTCTTGACTTGGGATTCGCACAAAGTCGCCCGGGGAATTTTAAGGCTTGTGGGATCAATCTTAGTCCTTGAAGTTTCTCTCAACTTGAGTTGTTTTTTCCAGTACCTGGTCGATCTCTTTCACAATCTCCTCGATCGTTTTCTTTGTTTTCCAATGCCGACAATCGCAGCAATCTGGTCAGTTTTTCGTGACAAGCCCGAGAGTTCTTTTTTCTCTTTTCTGTTCTTACGTTTTCTAGATCGTTTGTCAGTGGCCATGCTGCAGCCGGAGGATGCATGCTCGCACTCGCACACGACTACCGGGTGATGCGAATTGACCGCGGCTATATTTTCATGAGCGAGGCAAGTTTTCTCTTCCTTCTACGAATCTTTTCTCACGGTTTCACAGGTGGAGATCAATCTCCATATGACTCCAGGAATGATCTCTTTGATTCGTTGCAAGCTACCAGTCGCCACTTTCCACAAATCTCTCCTCTCCGCGTAAGTCCCTTCTTTCATTTTCAAGTGAAAGAGAGCTAGATAGAGAGAGCGACATTGTTTTGTTTTCTTCGCCCAGGCACAAATACACTGGCAAGCCCGCCGAAGAAGCTGGCTTTGTTTACGCCTCCTTTCCAGACGCGCGCTCCACTCAAGAAGAAGCAATACAGAAAGGTACAGAACTCTTCAAGCTTTTTGCTACGACTTTGCTACATTCTGTCTCATCGCAGCAACCGAACTGGCGAAGAAGAAGTATAACCGCTCCATTTACAAAGCTATAAAGGTACGAATACGATTGAGAGGAGGCTGTCAGCCAGAATTGCGTGTGCGAAAACTTTGTGTTTTGTTCTTTTGTTGTTGCAGTCTGAGATGTTCAGAGTGGAACTTCGAGATCTTCGATCCGGGGACCACGGCCCGCCTCCTGGTATCATACTCTCCAAAATTTGAGCGGCTGGTACGTACGAGAATTGATCAAGCTCTATCCTTTACGCGTCACTTTGCTCTTGTTTTGTTTGTGTCAGGAAGATGGTGCCAAAACTTGCCGAAAACCAGAGATGCACGGCAAAAAAGAAGAAGAAAAAAAAAAGAATTCTCTTGGATTGAGTGAAAGCTCCTTCGGAAGAAAAGAGGTTAACTTTCGAGTTCCAAGCTCGAGTTTAATAACAAGTATGAAAGTTCGTTGTGTCCTATGATTCGGCGTGTTCGAGTTCTTTCCTTGCATGGTTCCAAAAACAAATCGAGCTCGAAATTTTTGACTCCACAACAACGTTTCTTCATTCACATTTGGTGTGAGCGGAAAAAAATTTGGGGTCTTTTTCTTATAAACAATGGGATGGAAAAGAGTCAAAACTTTGGTATGACAAAAAATAAAAACCAGGCATCAGGACGCCGCCGGATTCACCTTTCTCGACGATCTAGACCGTCCAATCCGCGTCACCGGCGGCGTCTTGGCCGCCGCCGCCGCCGTACTGGCCCCAAAAGTCTGCGAAAGGTGTACCATCTCGGCCATGGACGACGTCACGTAGCTCTGGCCGTACAGGTCGTCGTCGTTTGGGCCCTGGCGCATCGTGGCCCGCTGGTGCAAGTGAGAGCTGTGTACGGACAGCGTATATGCCCTCCCCGACTCCTCGTAGATCCTCCGATTCTCCATCCTGTGGAGCACTTCTCCCAGCTCCGAGTGGAGGGACTTTGACAGCGCGTCGCCGCTCGCAAACGCAAACGATCGCTCAATGCGGCTTCGCGACGCCGAGATCGCGTCCTGGGCGGCCTCCAGATTGCCCGCGTCCGCGAGATTCCCAGCGCTGGCCATCGTTTCCGAGACGAGCAGACGGTTTCTCTGGCGATCCACCTCCAGGCTCGCGGTTTGAGACGAGCTCTGCACGATCGCAGGCCTCCGGACAGATATGGACGTTGATCCGGCCTCCGCGACCTCGCCCGGCTCCAATGCATCCCTGTAGCGGCACCCAATCCGGAAGATCTCGATCGACTCCGCCTCGGCGCAGGCGCCCAGCTCGATCTGGACCAAGACGTCGCGCTCCTCCTCGGCGTAGAGATCGCCCAGCGTCACCAGCGCGCTGGAGCCATCGCCCGACACCCAGCTCTCAAATCCCCCGTTCTCCACCCTTAAGATCTTCACCCATGCCGCCGCGGCATGCAGCCAGACCTCCACGCCCTGCGACACGACGCTGAGAAGCCCGCCGATGCACTGCGCGAAGGCGTCGCGTACCGCCGCGGCCGCGTGGACGAACGAGAAGGTGCCACTTGTTGCCTCGGCGATGGCGTGGAGCGTCGGGGCGTCGTGGTCGGAGCCCACCCCGAATGCGTGGACGGGCGGCATGTGGCGGTATACCGCCGAGAGCGACTGCCGCAAGAGGTTAGAGGAGAAAAATGCTGACGTGTCCTGCCCGTCCGAGAGGAGGATGACGCTGGATACCGCGTTGCGGTGCCGCCGGTCGCCCAGCACCTTGCCCGCCTTCTTGAGCGCGTCGCCGATGTTGGTGCCGCCGGATGCCACCAGCGCATGAACGGCGCGTACCGCGCGGCGCTTGTTGGTGTCGTCCATCCGCTTGAGAGGGAAGAGCCGAGCGGCGTTGGTGGCGAAGGAGATCACGCTCAGCCGATCACGCGGCCCCAGCTGCCCGATGACGAATTCCATGGCCGATTTCACCAGCGCGAGCTTGGATCCCGCCATGGAGCCACTCACATCGAGCACCGTGACGAGATCGATGGGAGCTCGAGCGCTCCCGGTAGCGCTGCCGCCGCTGCTGCTGCTCGATGCCTTGAGATTGACGAGCACCGTGAAGGGATTCCTGGATTGATCCGCCTGGACGGAGCCACACTCGGTGAATGCCGCGATCTTGGGCACTCGCGATGGAGGTGCTTGGTGCTGGAAATCCTGGGACAATATCTCCCTTGGATCCACGGAGACGTTGTGGATGCTGCCACATTCCTCATCGTCGTCATAGACCGCGGGATCCGATCGATTGTCCGCGCGGCTGGCGCTGATCATCCGGCTGTAGCGCGCACGCTCGCGCTGGATGGACTCGTTGAGGATTCGCAGCACTGGATCGACGTGGTAATTCCCGTGGGAGACGAATGGCTGGGAGTGATGAGATCGCAGCTCTGGCGGGGTTTCTTTGACCTGCTGCCAGGGAAGATCGATCCATTTGGCCCGGCACACGGGGCAGACGCGATTGCCATGCCGGACATTCGATGCGATGCACGAGAAGTGGAACATGTGAGAGCACTCGGCTGTGAACAAGGCGTGGCCGGCCCCGGGCGCCATTGGATCGAGGCAGATGGAGCACATACCCTGGAAATATCACCAGGAACATCAACAAACTTTCGATCAGATCAAAATTTCGATCGCATCGATATCGATCGACGCGCGATCATACCTCGCGCATGTTCCTCCTCCCGGTGCTCTTGCTCCTCCTCCCGCTCGCTGACCTAGGCCCGGATTCTTGGAGCGGCCGATCCAGCGTCATCAAATCCTGGAGGCTGGGAAGCGCCGCCGCCGCAATCTCATCGCCGCCGCGATCGCCGCCCGACGTGATGCACAGCATCGCCCTGGCCGACTTCCATCCCTTTCCCATCTAAAGAATCGCTAGAAAGAATTGCGCCGCTAGCTAGATCTCCAGCTCCTGGGGCACCGCTTGTTCGCGACTTTATACCTAGCGCTAGAATGGATCTCTATCTACGCGCTGCGTGGATGGCTCTCGCTCAGCAGCCTACAATCTTGAAATTCAAACAAACCGACACGCATAAATTTCTTTTGTGAGCCAGTCAAACAAGGAGACACACGTCAGCACTCCCTCGCTTATCGGCTGGACAGACACGTGGCCCCCGCGATCCCCGTCAGCAGGACCCCTGCCCGTCGGATGGACGGTGATCGCCAACACACACAAACATCGTGTCCAAACTATGGGAAACGAAGAAACTCGGTGTTTTCCCCTTGGCGCGGCGATGGAGATCGTCAAAATAGAAGTGCTGCCTGGATGCTTTCGCGCAAACTTTTGCCTCTTTTCGTCTCTCTTTTGTTCCGATCCCACTGTTTGATCCAATGCTGGAAACAGTGGAGCGACGCGCAAGGAAGCGAGAGACTAAGGACTAGATCTCGGTTGGCAGCCGGGTTTTTTAAGCTCGCGCGAGTTCTCATTTGTGGAGCTCCACTGTTTGATATCGCGTACTGTAGACGTGAAGTGAGCTACACTCAAAGAAGAAAACCCACAGTTTTTGATTGTACCTCACTCTCGCTCTCCAATCGGTTGCTTGTCAACGCGAGCGTGCCTGTGTTCCTGCCACAATAATTTTATCCTTTGCTTCTTTGGTTTTGCTGCAAGTCCAAGTTACAACTTAACAGCACCGAAACATCCAAATGGCCCACCTGGTTTGAAAGGCAGGACGTTGACAAAAAGAGGAGGAGCCGAGCTTACCTGAAAATAAAAAACCAACAAAAGAAACTCGGGATCAGATCAAATCTACTTGCCAGCAACTTGCAAAGGTCGACTCTTCGATGTTTCCCAAAGTCACGTTCGAAAAAAGATAGATTTGAGCTAGAACCAGAGCGACAAGACGAGTGGATTACCTGGATCGCAGAAAGCGAGAGAGAGAGACGAGGAAAGAAACAAAAACAAACTTGATTAGTTTAAGATCTAGACACTTACATGCACGAATCCTTCGTGTTTAGAGATTAACATTACAGTTTTGCGACTAAAGGTATGTCAAACCAATCATCGGAGAGCCTGAACTCACACAAAACAGTCATCCTCTTAGTAAACAAATGCCAAATCGCAATGAGATATTTCTATCTCGAAGCAAACAGACGAAAGAGTTTAAATGCGTGACACCCACCTGTGGTTGACTCTCTTGCCGATTGGTTTTTTCTGATGGTGAGGATGATCTCTTTCCAAACGGCCTTTAGTCGAATCCAGAGTAAACGCCACGGTCCCGCAGCAAGCGTTTCTCTTCCTCAACGTAGCTCTTCCCCCTGCTCGCCTGACCGAGGTCTCTCTTTCGTTTTTCTTTCTTGGAGAAAGTTTGAGCCCGTTGCTCCGCTGCAGCGTCCCGGCGTTGCTTCTTTGCGAATTGGTACTCGTTGAAAGTATTTTCAGCGAACTGCGCAAACAAAACGAAGGTATCGTATCAAGCGTGAGAAAATGGAAAAAAGTTGACCAAGAAAAAGAAAGAAAACTTCACTTCAAAGAGACAATGGAAAGAGAAACGAACCTTTTCGGCGCCAGTGTTGACAATCTCTCGAGTTCGCTCCCGCTCATCAATATTTTCGGCCTCTTCGGCTTGCCTCTCTTCGTCGGTCTTTCGCATCCCACCAGACCACGACCAATTGCTCTCAAAGTTGGCATTGCGATTCGGAGCTGGAACATTTAAAACTGATGGCCCACTGGAGTACCCGTGTTTTGCCAAGTCCGCGAAGCTCAAGTCTCCTTTCTTTGAAGCCTTTTTTCTCTCTGGAACATGAAAAATTTAGCGTCGTGAGACAGTTCATCGCGACTAGCAAACAGGCAAAGAATTAGGCTAAGTCTAAACTCATGACACTTCGAATCGGGAATGAGGAACTATCTAGCTGCCCTGGCAACCAAGAATTGTCGACAATGTCTAAACCCATGACACTTACGTGGAATCGCCGCTGGAGCTTATGTTTCCAAGAAAAAAGAAAGAAGAGGGAATGAATGCAGAACTATCTAGCTGCTTTCGTGCATTTCGCGAAGTTCATCGCGACTACCAAACAAGGCAAAGAATAGCAAAATGTCGACTAACTTGGAATCGCCGCTGGAGCTGGAGACTCTACCGGCGCCTTCGATTCCTTCTCTGAATCGGACGAGGAGAGGCCGAGACCGCTGCTGGAGCTCGCGCTGTCATCCTCGCCTTCCGCCATTTTCCCCCTCGAAGATTTAGGGTTCTTGGAAGGACCCTAAATGCGACACAATAGAACCGATTTGCTTAAATCCATCCAATCTTGCCGGTCTCTGTCCGCAGCGCTAGAAATCCACCATCGCATCCTCCCTCTGCCCACCAGCGACGCCTTTCTCTGCAACAATCTCATCGAGATGTATGGGAGATTGGGCAGCTCCGAAAGCGCGCGCGACATCTTCGATGCGATGGGATCGAGCAGGAATTCCTTCTCGTGGTCGCTGATGATGAATGCCTACGCCAGGAATTCCTTGCTGCGCGAGGCTAGGCGTGTTTTTGATGAGATGCCTGAGAGAGATCGAAACCTAGTGTGCTGGAACGCACTACTCGCGGCATATGCCCAAACCGGGCACTTCGAGGACGCAGAGAATCTCTTCGATCAAATGCCCGGGAGGGATTTGGTATCATGGAACACAATGTTAAACGCGTTTGTCACTATCAGAGATCTGGATCAAACGGTAAAACTCTTTGAAAGTATTCCAGAGCCAAACCTGATTTCATGGACTTCCATGGTCACAGCAAATGCCCAATGCGGGCACCTGAAAGAATCAAGAAGAATGTTCAATGACATGCCCCAGAGAGATATTGTGTCGTGGAACGCCATGGTGGCCGCATTTACGCAGTGTGGGAGTTTTGAAGAGGGTAAATTGGTGTTTGATTGCATGCCCGAGAGGGATCTTGCGACGTGGAATGTCATGCTAACTGCGTATGCCCAAGCAGGGCAAATGGAGACTGCAGAGACTATGTTCGAGGAGATGCCACGCCAGGACCTGGGCTCTTGGAACGCAATGCTTACAGGGTATGCCTATAGCGGGAGTACCAGGAAAGCAAAGGATTGCTTTGATCGCATGCCCCAGTGGAATATAATCTCCTGGAATATTATGATTTCTTCCTATACTCATGCAGATCAGGCAAAGAGACTGTTTGATCAAATGCCGCAAAGAGATGTGGTGTCCTTCAACGTGATACTTGCTTTGTATTTTGAAAATGCTCGCCTTGAGGAAGCGATAGGAGTCTTCGATGCCATGCCTGAAAGGAATCTAGTGACTTGCAACTCTGTGTTATCAGGATATGCCCAAAATGGGCATCTTGGGTTTGCCAAGCAAATTTTTGGGGAAATGGTACACAAGGATCTGGTGTCCTGGAACGTAATGCTCTCGGCATATTCTCAAAACGGGCATCTGGAAGATGCGCAGGCGCTCTTTAGAGAGATGCCAAAGAGGGACGTGGTGTCCTGGAATATACTGCTGGTGTCTTATGCCCAAGCGGGTCATATTGAGGAATCCAAACACCTGTTTAATACAATGCCAAAAAGAAACCTTGTATCCTGGAATGCACTTCTTTCGGTCTACGCACAGAACGGGCATGTTGAAGAGGCCAAACATATTTTTCAAATTATGCCACAGAAAGACTTGGTATCGCTCACATCTATTCTCCCTGCTTATGCCCAAACTGGGCATCTAGAAGATGCTAAAGCTTTGTTTGATCAAATGCCTGAGAAGGATGTGGTGTTGTGGACCGCGATGCTGGATGCCTATGGCCAGAACGGTAAGCTTGAGCTTGCCAAAGGAATTTTTGATGACATGCCTTGCCAAAATTTGATATCTTGGAATGCAATGTTGGTGGCTTATGCGCAAAACGGGTATCTGGAAGAGGTTAAGCATTTCTTTGACGTCCTGCCACAGAGGAGCATTGTGTCTTGGAACACAATGCTATTGACATATACCCTATCAGGTCATATCCTGGCAGCAAGGAAGACGTTTGATCAGATAGGGGAGAGAGATACCATCACTTGGAACACCATCCTTTCAGTTTATGCTCAGAGTGGAACACAGCATGTAGAGGCCTTTGATCTCTTCACTAGGATGAAGCTTCTTGATTCTTGCGACGGAGCTTCATTTGCCTTAGCTCTCATTTCTTGTAGCTACATTGGCAATGTTTCCAAGGGCAGGGAACTGTTTGTGTCCATGGCGACCGACTTTGGAATCAAACCCTCAAAGCAACACTTTTGCTGCATGGTTGACGTATTTGCCCGGTCGGGGCATCTGCTGAAAGCCGAGGAACTCCTTCTAAACATGCCGTTTGTGCCGGATGCCCTCGAGTGGAGATGCTTGCTCGGAGCTTCTCGAAGCCACAACCGGGTCAGAGATGGCGCTCGAGCCGCAAGCTTCGTGTTCGATCTAGATCCCAAAGACACGGCAGGGTATATGCTCTTGGCAAACATGTATCAACAGAATGTTATAAATACAAACAATCCAATCGTATTGTCAGGCAAAGATTGTTAGCATTTGGAAACAAAAATCAATGATCATGTGATTGATATATTACATCCTTTGGGGCAACTAAAAGGATTTGATTCTGTTAAAATACTATTCTTTGTGTATGTGCGCCATGTGTAAATCTTTTCACAAGCTTTGTCTTTGTTTGCCTTAGGAGTCAATGGGACGTGCCAACGAAGAGATTCAACACGCGGGTTCGATTCCCTCCCCCACATGCACAAGCGATGAATATTCCTCCCTTGGTTTGTAGACGATGTTTTGGATCGCGAGGCCCGCAGCGTGGAAGCATCTCAGGTGCCACCGACAGCTAGGCGCGCGATTGAATCTAGCGGCTTATTTTAAAAAAGATTCTGGGATATTCCGGTGGGGGGAATCCGACGGTGGCGACGGTGTGAAGCCTACGTGGACAGATGCGATGGCTGCCATGCCCTCTAGATCAAAACGGACGGCCGGGATCTTTGGTGTGTAGGTGTGAACGTCCCAGAACCCCTGCGTTGCGAGAGGCGAGTCTTTGGCGCAAGGGTTTTTGCCCGAAGATCGGAGGCGCCGCGCGCGAGGAAATCTTCGTCTGGTGAGTCCTAGGCCTCCGCGCTGCGAATGTAGCGCCGCTCCTTTTCTTGCTTCCCCGATCTCTCGATCTTGCCGTGACGCGCGATCTTTGCTCGGTGTAGGGTTTTGGAGGTATGGCGCCAGCGTCGGACGATACTATCCAGCTGCCGGCATCGACATCGGCGGATTCGTCGTCGCGTCGGCTCTTTGCCAGGGAAAAGAGCGTTCACGAGCTTCTTGGCGGCGGATTATGTGAGTTCTGTGCATGTTTGGGGCTCCTTCCCTTAAAAAATTCTCCTTTTCCTTTGCAGTGGGCGATGTTTTGCTATGGAGGAAGAAGCACCTCTCCGCGTCGGTTTTGGGGATTGCCACGCTCATCTACGTCCTGTTTGAGTGGTGTGGCTACACTGTGCTCTCGGTGTTTTGCAACAGCTTTCTGCTGATTACCATCGTCCTTTTTGTTTGGTCCCTTGGGGCCAGCTTCACGAACAGGTAACTCGCAGCGTAGTTCCTTTCTTCAATGGTTTCATGTTTTCTTTTCTATTTTGCAGACCTCCCCCTCGTATTCCTGAGTTACAGCTCTCGGAGAAAACTGTCCAGGATGTTGCACACACGGTGCAATTACAGTTCAATAACGCTGTGGGAGCTTTTCGTTCAATCGTCCTCGAGAGAAATTACGTGCTCTTTCTCAAGGTGGAGTTTTTTTTTTTTTTTCTCTCTTTTCTTTGCGACTTCTTAGCATCAGTCCTTTTGTTTAGGCTGCTGCCGGTCTTTGGCTACTTTCCACCGTTGGCTCGTGGACTAGTCTCCTGACGCTTCTTTATATCGGTACGTGTCACGAGGAACTTCTGTTTGAGCAGCCGCCTTAAATGCCTCTCGGTTTCTCAGGTGTGATCGTTGCGCATATTGTTCCGTTCGTGTATGACAAGTACGAGGACAAGATCGAGCACTACATGAAGGTGGCCGTGAGCGAGGGAAAGAAGCAGTACAGCAAAGTAGACGAAATGGTGGTGAAGAAGATCCCGAGAGCGGCGAAAGAGAAGAAGTCCGAGTAGTACCACCGTCACCGTCATCACGGGTTCAGCCTTTCCTCCTCCTCCCATTCTCTCGTTGGTTTCGATATTTAGAGCTCTGCAATTTCACCAGGTTGGATGATCTGAGCACAGTGTTCACAGTGTTCATATGTAAGAACCATTCCCTGTAAGAAACATTTCCTTTTTCACTAGCGGTGCAATGGATCTCGTTTTTTTTCCTTCTGGTATATTCTCGAGACTGTACGTAACAGCTACTGCGTAACTGCCGGTGCTTCAAGTGGGGAAAATCGTATCCCAAAGTGGGCCGGTTTTTTCACTTAGCAAGAACATATCATCTCCGGGAAGTTTTTCTTGGCTAGCTTCCGTTTTTTTAATTTTTTGTGTTTTTTTTTGGAGGTACCACTGTGCCTAGAGGATCCACAGCAGCTATTTTACTTCAATCGGATCCTTTCATGGGACTGCTGCTGCTCGTCCTCGCTACTTAAACAGTGCTAAAGTTCTCCGGTGGTGAAGTGCAACAATGGACTTTCTCATCGGGAGACTGGTGTTAGCGCTGGCGATGGTGGCCGTGCTTGTCTCTGCCGATGATGATGTTGATGCTGGACCGGTATACATCGTCAGGATGAAAGGACATCCGATTGCCGCTATGATCGACAAGCCTGTTTATGCTATTAATGAGGAAGATGATCATGAAACGAGGTAGCATATTGTCTTCATTGTTTCAACTCGTAATTTCGTCTTGTTTTTTTCGTTTTCTTTTTGTTTTTCCAGAGATTTCGTGGAGATGCATACGGCAAGCTTGAGACGGAACCACGATGCGTTTCTGGAAAGCTTGCTCGAAGAAGGGAGCTACGAGAAGCTGTACAGCTATACGTACCTTATGAATGGTTTCGCTGTGAAGCTCAGGGATGAAGTTCATGTAAGTCGTTTCCTTATAAAGTTCTACTTGTTTCGGTACTTAACCGTGCTACGGTCAGGTTGATTCTATCAGAGCGCATCCGGATGTTCTATCGCTGGAACACGAGGTGCATTTCCGAAAGACAACGACTTACACACCGTTTTTCTTGGGCCTGGATCCAAGAGCTTGGAAGAACGTCGGGACATTTGCAAAGGCCGGGGAAGATATCGTCATTGGAGTTCTGGATACTGGGATCGATCCACGCCATCCCAGCTTTGCAAACACCACCTCAAGGCCTTACTCGTTCAATCGACACTGGGAGAAGGTGTGCGCTGCGTCCCCGACATTTCCCAAAGGTTCCTGCAACGGGAAGATCATTGGCGCTCGTCACTTCTCCAAAGGCATTGTAGCTGCGAACGCGTTCAATGCGAGCAATGACTACGATTCCCCGCTCGATGGTGATGGTCACGGGAGGTAAGCTTAGCGTTTTCTCTTCTTCTCTTTAGTGGTAAAGCAGATGCTTTGTATCTACAGCCATACCAGCTCTGTTTGTGCCGGCAACAATGGTGTTTACGTGAGTGTGGACAAGTATATCTATGGGAGAGCAAGCGGAATGGCTCCTCGCGCACGGTGAGCTCATGTTCTTGTAGTAAACCGTCCATTAACTTAGCTCTCTCAGGATTGCGGTGTACAAAGTCATTTACAGAGATGGTGGCTACTTGTCTGATGTTCTTGCGGGGATTGATCAGGTTTGCCTTGCGCTATTTTCTTCTTTGATTCATTCCGTGAGTTGGAACACAGGCCGTTCAAGATGGGGTTCATGTGCTGAGTATCTCTCTCGGTGCCACTAGTGGAGCCTACGGTGTTCCGTTCCTCAACTCCTTCGACATTATGATGCTCCTCGCGTTCAAGGCGAACGTTTTCATCGTTCATGCTGCTGGGAACAACGGTCCTGCCGCCTTCAGCATGAACTCTTTCGGGCCGTGGGTGTTGTCGGTCGCAGCTGGTATGACAGATCGAACGTACTCGACTCCGATAATTCTCGGCAACGGGCAATGGGTGTATGGAACTGGTCTAACAGGTAAGCGTGTGAAATACTCTCGTAGAAGGCCATCGCTAACCTTGGGAACCATTTGCTCTGTAGCTGGAACCAGCGCTCGCAAGTTGTATCCTTTGATTTATTCCCAGGATGCGTACATCGCCGGCGTGACTTCCTTCGACCAGGAGTTTTACTCTTACTGCTCCGACCCCTCGCCTTTCAACAAGACTCTCGTCAGCGGGAAGATTCTCATTTGCAACTTTGTCGACTACTTTTCTGGTGGTGCAGTCACACAAATCGAAGGCGCTCTCGCAACTGCCATTGCCACGGGAGCTGCTGGCCTCCTCATTGTCTTCCCAACATCTGCCGAGAAAACGCCAACCAAAGACACGGTCTTTGATCCAATTCCTTTCACGATACCCGCGAGCTTTGTGGTGGATCCAAACGCGTCAGCCGTAAGCTGTTTTGTTTCTAAGCTTCTTAACTTGTTCCTTTTTCGCTCTGGCAGCTCATACTACAACACTACAACGAGAAGACTGTGAAAGACAGCAAGGGCCAAGTGTTGAGGTTCGATGCACAAGCCAGGATCGAGGACTCGAGACACCCCTTATATCCATTGGAAGCACCGAGAGTGGCCTCGTATTCTTCCAGAGGCCCGGTCTACGCTGACACGGTTACGTCCCTGGTAGCAGACGTGATGAAACCAGACGTCCTCGCACCTGGAAACCAGATATGGGGTGCATGGACACCCAAAGGAACCGACGCAAACTCTTTCACAGGCAAGCCTGTAACTTTAGCTTCTCGTTCTTTTTCTTACGAACTCTATATACCAGGTCGCAACTTTGCCATGCTTTCCGGGACGAGCATGGCCACTCCACACGTCGCTGGAATCGCCGCGCTCTTGATCCAAAAGTACCCGAGGTGGCGCGCCTCAACCATCCGCTCGGCGATCATGACCACCGCGGACAACTTCGACAACCGCGACCGCTGGACGCGAGCCGAGCAGCCGTACTCCAACTCGTCCCAGGCGATCGGCCGGGCCTGCCCCTTCGACATTGGCAGTGGTGCTATCAACGCCACCGCAGCGCTCGATCCAGGCCTTGTCTTCGACGTTGGTAAGCTTGGTTTTTCTCGTTTTCTCGATCCAGAGCTTTCACAAACTTGTAACGCTCGTCTTCCTCGTTTCCAGGATTCCAGGACTACGTGGACTTCCTGTGCGAGATCCCGGGGGCCGACCAAAACTCGGTGGAGTACTCGACGGGGGCTCATTGCGGGCCTGAAAACAAGAACCCCTCGGACCTCAACATGCCGTACATCACGGTGGCGAACTTGATAGGCAGCCGGGTGGTGCAGCGAACCGTGGTAAACTTGGGCGGCGAGGAAACTTACAACGTCACGGTGAGGCATCCAGCGGGGGTGGACGTGTCGGTGAAGCCACGGGTTTTCAAGGCCAGGACCGGCAAGCCAGTGGTCATCAACGTGACGCTCACCGCGACGCAGACCAACCAGCAGTTCACCTTCGGGTATATGATCTGGGACGGCGACAAGGGTCATTCCGTACGCGTTCCCCTCGTTGTCTCGGCGAACTCTATGAGCGGGTAAACAAAGTTCTTTGCTCTCTCTCTCTCTCTCTCATTTTTTCTACAAAGATGATGGCTCTCTCTTCCATTTTGAATCTCTCTTGATCTCTCTTCTACAAAGACCATTTTGATCATCTTTCTCTCTAAGGCCATCTCTCTCTCTCTCTCTCCGTTTTTTTCTTTTCTTTGATTGGAAACAGGGACCATTTTGATCATGGCACCGCCGCAAACTAAGATTTTGCGACGCAGAGATTTTCCTCTTGTAAATAAAAAAGACCATCTCTGGAACTCTTTTTTCTTTTCCTCGTTAAACATTGGAGAGAATCACGCCAGCTGTTGCTTCCATGTCTCCGTAATGCCCAGCAAAGAAAAAAAGGATTTTTCCTCCTCCCCGCGGCAATGAATCGGCTGCCGTACAAGACATGCCCCTTCCAGTGTTGAGATCGGTAAGAATATTTGTTGCGCTCATTTTCCTTGTTGGCCACTCAGACTGTTGGCTTGTTGGCCTCCAACAGAATCGCAATCGGATCTTCACTCATTCATTCCTTGCGCTATGCCGTCCCCCTGTACGGACTGCCCCCCCGCGACACGTCCGTACCGGAGATTTCTCGCAACCAAGTTTAGAGACAAGCCATCGTGCCAGTGTTACAAATCCATCCAGCAGATGTTACAAACCAATGTTATATGCGCTAAAACATTACACTTTATCACGTTGTTCGCGTCAAAAAAGAAAAAAAAACACTCCCCTTCTTTCTTCTCTCCTTTTTCTTCTTGCGTTAATTTTCTCCGCGTTGCTGTGTGGAGATTTTTCAACAAAGGTAGAAAAAAAGCGAGGATTTTGTTTCATGTACAAGAGAGAAAGTAAAGAGGGGAGCCACTGTTCTTGGTCCTTATTGGAAACGAGCGAGAGAGAGCGAGAGAGAAAGAGGGAAAGAGCGAGACTGCAAAACCACCCCTTTTCTTCGTAGCGCAAATTTTCCAGCTTTGATTCCCCGACCCTTCTCATGGCACAGCTATTTAGCAGCTATAGACGTCTTCAAAAATGCTTCTTTGTGTTTCTCTGTTTTTTTTTTCTTCTTTTCTCTTTCGTTTTTTAGCGGTTTTTTTCTTCCTCAAGGTTTTACTTCGTCAGCTTGTAGCCTCGGCTTCTCTCGGAACTGATCCAGAAAACAAAGACATCGTCAGTCCAGAGACTAAAAGCACGCAAAAGAAAAACAAAACTTACCACCAAGACCAATTGCGTCAGACCCCTTCATGATCCGTAGCCTTTTCACAGTCGCTGCAAACATCCTGGAGCAGAAGGACAAGATCAGAACTCCACTTGGGATCCAGAGACAAAAACAATTTACCTCCATGGAACATCGCCAACGAGCATCAAATCCCCGTCTTTGTCCTCGTAAGTCAGGACGTACTCCGTCTCATATCCATCAAAGAGGCTCCGGACATCTCCAGACGATTTTTGTTTGGACATCGGCTGGCCTGATCAGCGAAAGCAGCAAAAGTACTCGTTAGTCGATGGACACATCAAGCTTTCCAGATCTAAAGCAAAAGTAGCTCACCGCTCACGAATCCGCTAAACATATCCTTGAGAGCCGAGGAGAGCTTCACGTAGCTGTTGTTGGAATCCAGATCCACTTTCCGGCCGATCGGGAGGCCGTCCATGTACACCTTGACAAAGAGTGAGTTGCTGCTCGCTGCTGCTTGGCCACCATTACTGCCTTGATCCGGAGTCGCGAGCTCCGCGGCCTGCTTTACAGTTTGTGCTGGTGCAACCAACGTGTTCTTCCTAAAGGATTGAACTGGCGGCCACCCAACCATCGGACCACTGCAAATAAATAAGATATTCAGTTATACTTCTTTCAAAAAAGCAAGAAAAACAACTCAAACTTGGTACGAGAGAAGGAAAAAAAAATTCTTCGAGCTTCAGAGAGAAAGGAAAAAAACCTGTACTGTGGAGTGAGAGGAAGGAAAATAAAATCTTCGAGCTTCAGAGAGAAAGGAAAAAAATCTGTACTGTGGAGTGAGAGGAAGAAAAAAATCTAGAGCTTGCTGGAGGAGCTCAAGAGAATTCGGCTATGGAGGAAAGGCTAAACAGAAAGAAGGAAAAACGTACCTTGAGGATGGAGTTTCTTCGCCTTGGTTCAAGCACGAGAAGTGACTGAGAGACGAAGAGGAATCTTTTCTCTGGAAGGGCGTGAAAGTGGTCCTGTGTGGATCATGAATTGGCCTCCATGTTTTGGTGGTGGCGGCGTTGGTGGTGGTAGTGGTGGTGGCGGCGGTAGTGTTGTTGTTCTTGGCGGAAGAGCTACTCCATGGAAACATCGCTGGTAGCATCTTGGAGCCCATACCTTTGACGAGATCCACCTCCTCCACAGTCTCCGAGTAGCCTCTCTTGGATCCAGCGCTGGGGAGCTTCAATTTCACCTCCTGGAAGAGAGATCTCTCCCTCGTCGTCTCGCCCGCGCAGTCCAGCGCCTCCTTGCTCCTCGGAGCCGGCCCCAATCCCAGCCCCAGGCTCAGATCTGGATCCTCAACCATGCCCGCCGCCCCGCCGCAGCGATCCTCGGGCTTGTCCACGCTGATGGACGAGGAGCCAATGTAATCGTGCTCGTGGATCTTGGTGCTGCTCTGGCTGCTGCTATTGCTACACGAATTGGCGCGGCTAGCTCCAGCTCCAGCTCCAGCGCCAGCGCCAGCGCCATTGAAGAAAACCCCGGCCCCGGCCGCGCATTCCTCCCCAGCGTTGCTATCGCCCGTCCTCTCAGTCACCACCGAGGAGCTCACGCTGCGGCTGAGCGAATCAAACGCCATCGTCACGGGCGTTGCCGGCGCTGCTCGCGAATCCTCCCCCATTCCCCCTCTTTCACGCGCTAGAATCCCGGATTTTCACCTGCGTTGCCTCCAAACGCGCTGACGATCGGCCAGGGAACAAGACAGAGCTCCTCCTGTGCCGGATTTTAGCCCATCGATCGAGGCAAGAGCGCGAAGAAGACGAAGATCACACTCACGAAGAACGCGGAAGGCCTTTGGAAGCCCTAAAATGGGGGAATGGGGGTTTTATGAAGCTCGTGCGGGCATGGCCATGGCCATGGCCATGGTGGGGGCCATGATGGAATGGATGGATGGCAATGGTATGACATGGTAGCCCATTGGCCGCTGGCCACTGGCCAAAAACCCCCGCAAGTGGTCCATGTCCATTACTGGCCCGGGAAAGAGGGGACAAGATCACGCCTACCATTTTGTCGTCGTGAGAAAACAGCAAAGCCAAACCAAACACGATTCGTTCTCTGTTTTAAACTTGAGATGGCGGTTTTTAATTTTCTTAATAAAAAAAGTAGATTTAAAATTGTAACTATAGCTGATAATCTTTTTCATTTCTCATTCTGGAGGTTCTAGTAGCCATGCTCTGTCCATTTGCTCTTTTGTGTGTTTTTTTTAGGTGGTTGGGAGGCACTAAATGATGTTCATTCAGCATGAGGCCTTCTCTGGGAAAACTCGTCTGTCTCCTTTGTCTTTGATCATTCCTTCCTTGGCCTACTTGCAAAATTTCCAGCAGCCTAGGTGCTATGTGCATATGATACATGTATATGTGTGAAGAAAAATAAAAAGTAGAACTGTGAAACTTGGCATAACTATATTGTTTTCTATTACATAACATATATAAGAGTTCAATCTTTTAAAAACATGTGCTTGTCAACATGAGATCACAGTAGAGGTTGCAAAATCTGGCATGGAAAGCTGCCTCCACGTTTATCTTTGTGATTTTGTGGGATTTGCAACCGAACAAACTTGCTTGTGGTGTCACTCTCTCATATAGAGTTAAGTTTTTCTTTTTCCCAATTTGGATTTGGATTTGGATTTGAACTATTCAGCATATCCTCTTTTGTTTTTTTTGTTTTTCCTTTTAGGGATGTTAGATGCATGCCAGATTGTAAACAATTTCAAGAGTGGAAGTGATTATGACACTGAGGGGAGGCAATTTGATTGTTTTCAAGTGGACAAAGTCTGATCAGTTTGTCCAAGACTGGGGTAAAGAGCTTGATGGCCAATGCTTTCACACATTAATGAATTTGAAACCTCAGAAGAAAACAGTAGGATAAGAACAAGGACGTGTGCCCGTGTGTCTTGCAAGAGCCCGGTTGAGTGACTTGGATTGATCATTTCTCCAACTCTCTTGTCTTTTGGGTGGGAATGAGAAAGAGCAGAAGAAGAAGAAAGAGAGATACAAGAGGGGTCAAAAAGATGGAAAAAAGAAAAAAAAAGAAAAGAGCTCCTCAATGTACTTTGTGGGGTGTTGGCAAGATGATTCCCTTCATTTGAAAGGGAAGCTCTCACAGATCCAACCATCCCTGCACTTTAATCAGGATCATGAAACCCACACTGAAATTCAAAGTCCTGGAGAATATTCTGCAAGCGGCACGATAATATACCGTCAACCGACAGCCGGGGACATTCCCCGACAACGATCGAGATACCCCGTGATATGCCGGCCCTCTACCAACCCCACCAATGGGTCCCCATCCATCATGCAAACCATGCCATGCGCATGAGCGGCATGGGCCCATGAGGCCCATGTGGGGCGCCAACGGCATGGGTACATATCATATCATTACAAACGCCCCGCATGACGTGTCAAGAGCAAGAGGACCGTAGCGACGTGGCCGGCCTCTTGACGAGACACGTGGTCGCTGGCTAGTGGCCGACAAGCAACCGGCAGATTCCGGCGCTGCAGGCTCCATGTCGTCCGCTGGGGACCGGTCCCTTTTTTGCCCTGGGGGACGCAATCTCCACCGTCTGTCCTCCAAATCGACGGCAGGATTCCGCGAGAAAAGCGCCCATAGAAATGTCGAGGCTTCTTCCGTGACGACTCGATCGATCTCTCTCTCTCGGGACAAGAAAAAAAAACCATTCTTCCTGTTTTCTTCTATGATTTTCCAGTCTTGATTTCTGTCGCTCAGTCTCGCAGTCACAGACAGTGAAAGAGAAGATTAAAATACCTGCAAGAGGAAACAAAGCCATTAGCTCTCTTTACAGAATCATTGTGTACAAATATTAAACTCCTGGAGAAAGAATGTGGTGTTTTCAACGCACCTCTGATAGAGAGCAGCAGCGAGCAGCTCCTCGAGGCTTGTAGCTATAGGTGGAATTAAAAAACCACTAAGAAAACGAGAGAAAAACACTCATCAAGATCAAAGAAACAGTGAAACAGTCAAGTGAGAAGTAGTACCTTCCAAGTTGTGTGCTTTGTAGATCTTTTTTTTCTTTCTTTCTCCTCCCTCCTGGCAATTGTTTAAGTTTCCCAAAGGTCAGTCCTTGTTACTGTTGTCTCGGGAGTGCCAGGAGCAGTAGCAGTAGTGTACAAGTCAACATCTTCCAGTCTCGCCTTTGCTTTGCTTTGCTTTGCGCTGCGTTGCGTTGCTGTGCTGTGCTTTGCCTTTGCTTTGCCTTGCTTTGCTTTGCCTTGTTTGCTCGCTGCCTCCTCCTGTCTGCCTGTGGCGCGTCCTGTCCTGTGCATTGGCTTGTACAAGCAATTTGCTTGAGAGCCGTCCGGTCTATTCTCCCAATTATGAATGCTTGAAAAGTCCGCTCTGGAGTCTGGACTGGTCCCTGGCCTTGCCTCCATGAATGAAAAAGTGCCTTGTCTCTCTCCGGCGTCTGTCTGAGCAGCAAAGAGAGATTTTTTTTAGTGAAAGAAAAAAAGAGTTGAACGGATGCCCACCAGAGTCTCCGCTAGAGTGAGGCACTGACTGCTCGCTCCGTGTGCTGCTGCTGCTGCTCGTTGTGGTGTTCTGTACAGCTTTTCTTTTTGTTGCTTCTGACTCGCAGCAGCCATTCGACGTCGCTGTTGGTGCTGTTGTTGCGCATTGTTTCCCTGCCACCTTGCTTAAATGAGCGAGCGCGAATTCTCCCGATCGGTTCCAGTCTCTCAGCAACAGCTGCGAGGTCGGTGAGCAGTGGTATTCTTTGAACCTCCTCAGCTCCGTGCAGATGCAAGCAGACTTATCTGGATCAGGCAGGCAGGCAGTCAGTCAAGTCAGAGAATGTGTCGCCTCTCCCCCACTGTAACGCGGAGAGACGTCTCTCCCATGCAGTGTGTGTGCCTCCATGCCCTGCAGGTGTAAGAAAAGTCTACAGCTCTGGGAGTTCCAAGCTTTACGCTTACCCATACCTGTTGGAGACGCAACAGATTCCCGGTAAAGCACCTTCGTGACATCACGTATTCTGGTTAGAGAGAATTTGCAAGAAGAAAAGTGCTACTGACCTGTAATGTGGACTTGAAAAATCAAAGCACCAACTTTGTTAGCTCAAAACTTGGTCGACCTTTTGGAGCGATACTAACGCATTTAACTTTCAGCTTATCTCCAACCGAGTAGTCTGATGTACTCGCTCCCTGCAAAATTAATTTAGCAGGGCGGAAGTGAATTGGAAGCATTGGACTCACCTTTCCCGTCTTAAGTACACCACTTGCGCCGGTCTCCATTTTCACAGCTACACCACTCTTCCGGATTTGCTCGATAGTCACATGGTATATAGCACCAATTTCCGCTGTGGTCTGCTTCTCCGTACACGCTTTCTCGTGCTTCTGTTCATGGCCAGCTCCATCAACCTTTTGTTTCTGTCTTCTCTTTGTTTGCTCCTTTTCCTGTTTTTCAGCACCAGCGTCTGAGGCAGTCTTCTTTGATGATCCACCATGTAAGACTTTCTTCACCATTAAGCTTTTTGGTTCGTCTTTCTTTGTCTTCTCTTTTTCTTGTTTTTCAGCACCAGGTTTTGCCAGCTTCTTCGGTGAGGCTTTGCTTGAAATTTTCTTTTCCTCTGACATACTGGGGCTGTCTTCTGATTGACGTTTTTCTACCCCGGATTGCTGCAGTTGGGTCTTTCCAGCAGTCAACACCGCAGTAATCCTCTCGGCAGTTAGATCGAACGTTTGTGATGATTTCTTTGCTTGTGTGATTGCTTGTGTGACTTTCGCAAGAACTGGAATCGTAGTAGTAGCTTCTGCATCTTCAGTAGGAAAAATGTCAGATCTTAACAAAAATCTAAAGTTCAACTTACTAGCTTTATTTATCACTGCTTTACGTGAAAACTTCAGATTTCCACGGAAGTCTCGTCCTGTACAGAGTACCGTAATTTGCTGTCCAACTGATAGTACGTCTGCAATAGCTGTTACCTGGGAAATACATGACAAGTTCAGTAATGCTTGAAGAGAAAGGCTTTCTAAACAGCTTACAGGTTCGTGTGAGATTTCTGAAATATGAAGAAGCCCTTGTTGCCCGCCATCGAAGTCAATAAAAGCTCCAAAATCTTTTATAGCGGAAACAGTTCCCGTATACGTTTCACCGACTATGATTTCTCGTCCAACTAGAGCTTCAATCTGCAAAACGAATATTAAAAGAAAAACGAGAATGCGCAACATGCATACCATCGATTTCGCCACTTTGAAGCTTTTCTCGGATCTTGAAATAATATGGACATTTCCATCCTCGCCCACAGTCAAACGAGCTCCTGTAAACAGTCCTTGAATGCACGAACAAGGATAGAAGAACAAATGTACCTGAAACGGATTGTAAATGTCTTATGTTCGAACCACTAGGACCGATAAGTCTGCCAATGCTTTCTCGTTGAATAACTATCGTTCCTGGAAAAGAAAGGACAGAACTATAGCCTGTAGTTAGGAAAAAACATTACCTCTTCTAGGTGTATCTTGTCGTTGAGTGTCCCGCGGTTTAGAAATTTCCTTTTCCATCAAATCCAAGATTTTCTTCCGAGCAACATACGCAGGTTCTAATGCCTCGCAAAGAATATGCAGTGGCACTCCTGGAAGCTTTATGTCAAGCTGGATCGCAGTCACGCCTTTTTTTGTTCCGGCAATTTTGAAGTCCATGTCACCCAAGTGATCCTCTAGTCCCTAAGAAAAAGATGATTCAGCGTACAGTCAGAGAAAGGCAGGAAAAGACGTACCAAGATGTCCGTCAAAATCTTATAGTTCTTTATTTCTCCAGTCTCAGCATCAACGTTCGTTATAAGACCCACGGAGATGCCCGCCACATGAGACTTTAAAGGAATGCCAGCATCCATCAAAGCCAGACTCCCTGTACCCAAAGTTAAATCCATGAAAAGCCAATGACCCGTTTCTACCTCCACAAACCGTTGCCATTGACGATGAGCCATCAGAAGCCATGACTTCTGAATTCACTCGAACACTGTATGGAAAATTCTCATCTTCAGGCGGCAATAGTGCTACCAAGGCCTTCTCGGCTAGAGTACCTGTGAAATGGCTTATATCAATGAGACCTTCGAAAATAAAAACTTTACCATGCCCAACTTCTCGGCGGTTTAGGCCTCCTACTTTGCCAACTTCGTTAACAGAGAAGGGGGGGAAACTATAGTGGACCATAAATCGTTTCTTAGGAGGACCAACTATTGAATCAAGTTTCTGTGCATCTTCGGGAGCTCCCAAAGTTACCGTGCATAGCACCTAAAACCTTATAAAGATAGAGGCAATGCACAAACACGAAATGCCTACCTGTGTATTCCCTCGCGAAAACAAAGAAGAACCATGAAGTGCTGGATATATTCCGGCCTCGCAATAAAGGTCCCTGACGTCCGTCAGAGACCTGCCATCAACCCGAATGTTCTTTTGAAACACATTTTCCCGGACAATCTAAAGGAGACAATTAGGTACTGGAGATTGAAACTTTTTTTTCATGACTTACTTGTTTCTTTACAGTGTCAAAGCCAAGCGAAAAACGGCTTAAAGCGGCCTCGTCATTTTCTTTCTTGAGAATATCCTGCACATTTTCCATTGCTTTTCCGAGAGCCTTTCCTCGTTCAAACTGCAAAAACAAACATAAATAAACTGCTTCAATGTTTTCATCCAACCTTTCCAAGCGTCGGGTTATTAACCACCGCTTTGATATGTTCTTCCGATAATCCACGGATTTTCTCTAAAACGGGGGCATCAACCTTTACCACTTGTACAGGCCGTTTTCTGTTTCCAACCTTTGCTGCTAGTCGACGCTGTGGTTCTATCAGTTTGGAAGCCTGCAGCATCGAGTAGTAAAGTAATGTTTTCTTTCTGTAAGAAAATTAAGTACCTCCGAATGTGCCAGTTTCAAGGCAGCAGTGAAGTCTTTATTTGTTATTTCTCGCGCTTGTGTCTCGATCATAAGTGACCTTTCAGCTGTACATGAATATATCAAATTAAGGTCACTGCCGCTGAGCTGAAACAATAGACAATTTTAACGTGCAATTCAATGGCTAAAGAAAAAAAATGAGAAAACAATACCGTGTCCATGTCGGGGTTAACAACAAACTTTCCATCAACACGTCCTATGCGTACTACTCCAATAGGACCATTCCAAGGTACATCAGACAATGCTAAGGCAGCCGAGGCTGCATTAGCTGCGAGTATATCCGGATCCTGCTCCCCATCTGAAGAAAGGACATTGGCCATTATCTGTTTAGTTTGAGAAAATCAGAAACGAGACACATCAAGGAAAAACAAAACCTGGGTTTCGAAGTAGTAGCCCTTTGGAAAGAGAGGCCGAATCGATCTGTCAATGACACGACCGCAAAGAAGCTCCCTCTCTTTTGGTGCTCCCTCCCTACGCATGAAAGTGTTTGGAATTTTTCCCTGTGCATAAGACTTTTCTCTATACTCCACCTGACAAAGAGAGAGATTATGAACAGAAAAACAAAAGAAGATCAAACCTGGAGAGGCATGAAATCCCGACCCGCATCGAGCCTTTCGTCGGACACAACAGTGACCAAAACTTTGGTTTCGCCAGCTCCACAGACCACTGCTCCAGCGGCAAACTGCGCGAGCTTTCCAGTCTCAAAAGTTAAAAGCTCCGGCCCGATCATCACAGACTCTTCAAACACTAGCATTTTTGCTGGAAGAAAACAACTCAAACTAACAAGAGGTTCTTAGCAAGAAAAATCTCTTACCCGCAGACTCGCGCCATGGAGCCGATGCCTCGGAAAGGATTTGCTGCCGGGCGCTCCTGGAAGTAGCAATGTGACGACGCCACTGGTGAAAGAACGACGATCAACGTGGCATTCTCGCAAGGAAATGGAGATTACCCGAGTGGGAGAAGGCGGCGATTGGATTTGGAGCTGCGGGCACACATAGGACGCGATCCGGTGCCCCACCGCTGCTCCCGCCCTCCAGCTTCCCTTCATGGCCCGATAAACCCTAAACCTTGGGGCGATTTTATTTCTACTCAAACGGCCATGTCTAGGGCTCTTTATTCCCTCGTCTCGCAATTTTTCCAAGCGCTACCTGGGCGTGGCGCTGCGAGGATCGCGGGAATGGCGTCTCCAGCATTCGACAAGGTGAGATCATGGAAGCATTTATTTTGCTCGATCTAGTGCCGCACTGTCGATGCTTTGATCCAGGAAATTTTCTTCTTTGGGCCGTATAAGATTGATCCCAGAGAAGTGTTCTTGGTCTCCAAGCATTCCTTTGCTCTCGTGAATCTAAAGCCCGTTGTTCCTGGTAAGGCATTGCTCTCTTTCTTTTTTCCTTTGTAAAAGGATGTTTCTTTTCTCAGGTCATATCCTTTCTTTAGAACTTTGCTCGTTTCACTTGTCTTCCTTGATCTTTCTTTCTTTTTTTCTTTGTTTCGTTTTTATACATGTTCTTGTGAGCTCAAAGCGGGTGGTACCTCGTTTCACTGATCTCAGCAGTGAAGAAGTTTGCGATCTTTGGCTCACCGCGAGAAATGTTGGTGAGAAAGTGGAGAAGCACTTTAAAGCATCCTCGTTAACTTTGGCAATACAGGTATGATCATCGATCAAAACCTTTGTTTGCGTTTAAGTCACTCTTTTAAGAGCTCTTCGTTTTGTTGTTCCAGGACGGGCCACAAGCCGGCCAGACCGTCCCTCACGTACACATCCACGTCCTCCCGCGAAAAGCCGGCGACTTCGAGAAGAACGATGAGATCTACGACGCTGTAAGTTAGTGGCAGCTTTTCTGTCACGGAATCGAGAGACACGGGAGGGACTTTTGATTATTCTTTCCTTGCAGATCGATGATAAAGCGAAGGCAATGAACGACCATCTCAACCTTGACAAGGAGAGACGCGACCGGACAATGGACGAGATGGAGGCCGAGGCCAAAGACCTGAGAGCTCTCTTCGACTGAAGAAGATCAAGGAAACACTATAGAACACTATAAACTACAGGTATGCCAGTGAATCATCCCTGACACTGTCTCTTCCACTAAGCACTAAAGCGCGGTACTTTTCCTTCCAGACCAATCAGTCAATGAGTGGAGTAGTCACGTCATGAATCCATAACGGAAGTTTCAAAGCCATCTTTTTTCTGGTAGATAAAGTAGGACTAGTTTGCTGCTATTGCTACGATTGCGACGCATTTTGCAGTATATGAGGAGCGAGTATGTGGAGCCTCTGGAGTGTACTCGATAATCACCGGGACTCGCGAGAGAGAACACAGAGAGAAGATGGATCTTCTCTGCTGGATGGTCAGTGTTTTAAGTTTTCACCTGCTTTGGAGCTCTGCAGGCTTGCAGGCACAGTTCGTGGGGCAGACGTGTGATCTGGAGAGTGAGTTCTCCACTCTCGTCCCGTGCCTGCCTTTCGTGCAAATGCAAGACAATAGTCCCTCGGACGATTGCTGCGTTAGAGTTCATGCAGTCCTCAAGGATCACTTTCCTTGTATGTGTACGCTCATCGATGGAGCTGGAGGTATGGTCGGGCACATCCTCAATGATATGAACTTCACCTTGGCGATGGAGCTGCCATCGCTCTGCGGCGTGAAAGGATTTCAGCCATCGGCTCAGTGCGGATCCTTTGGTGGAAGTAAGTTTTTACTTTTCTTTCGTTCTTTGCCTCTCATTCTTCGCTAACTTGGATTCCTTCTCTTGGTTTTTTTTATAGTCGGACCATCACCATTGTTCGCCAATCCAAACTTCTCTGGAGCTTGGTCAAGAAAGGCCGGAGCTTGGGTCGTGGCAGTAGTAACTATGGCGATGGCATCTCTCTTCATGAAGCTGTGAGAAAGGAGAGCGTGAGTTTCGTGAGTTTTTGTGTGCATAATGGATCCTTTTTTTTTTCTTCTTCTTTGGACATAGAGGCTTTCGGTGTAAGAATGGAAGTGTTAGAACTTCATCGCCAGATTTCTTCACACAAGTTACTTTGAATCACAAGCTTGGTTCTCCCTTGGCTCAGCTCCTTGATCGAGCAGCTAAGTTGGCACTCGAATTGGTGCTTGTAGTCGAAAGGCACCCAGAACCACTTTGATCGCGGCTTGGAACGAAGCTCGGCCTCGAAAAGGAGCTTGAAAGGCGAGCCTTGGAGTGGCATGTATTTGGAGTCGAAGAACAGGGGAACTCTATCACCGATAACGTAAGCTCTTACCACTTGTTGCTTGCGTGCTCCAGTGATAAATCCCCCTAGCTGCGATCGAAGAGAAGTTCTTGACAGAAGAGAACTTTGCCAGAAGGAAAAGATGGTTTTTGGGAAGAACTCTACCTTACCAGTGGCAAGAGGGAGCTTGAAGTGTGCAGTGAGGAGCGAGAGCCGTATTTGAGCCTCTTTGACGTCGATCTTCCAGCAAAAGGAAGGATTTCTTACGTGGAACTGGAGCTTGGAGGAGGAGGAGACGATCGAATTCTGATTCTTGTTGAAAGTTCCAAGCGTGAGATTCCACTGGTAGATGTCAATCTCCTGGAGATAAGAAATCAAAGCAAAATGAGAACTTTTGTCAGGAAATCCTTGCTTGTAACTTGGAGAGAGACGTGAAGTGGTCGAGGACGAAGAATCAGCCTCCATGCGATTCCAAACGCGGCTCCCAGTATGAGCAGCGCGAAGAAAAATGGGTGCCTCTTGACAGTTCCATCGAAAGCCTTGTGAAGAGAAGCCATGCAAATCAATCAATCACCCCGAGAAGAGAAGAAAAACTCCTTTCTTTCGAGCTTTTGCTTTTTAGCTTCATAAAAATGCGAGCTATCGTCCAAAGCAGTGGCTCTGCCTCAAAGCGTGTTCTTAACTTATAAAGCACTTGGTTTTCATACAAGCCACACAGTGAGGTTTTATCGTGTCCATATTGTAGGGCAGTGCTGTGTGAGCGATTGGTGATGGCGGTGGCGAGCTCCATCTTGTTCTTGGCACTCTTCCTGGCGCTCTTCGTCGCGGCGCCGGCATTGGATTCGCCGCAGTACACTGTGGTGCATTCCGAGTCGGATTTCGAGGTGCGGCGGTATCGGCCGTCGGCATGGATGACCTCGCAGCAGGAGGATTTGTCTTTCACTAGCGCAACGCTGAAAGGATTTCACAGGTATGTCAGGAGAGATTATGGCATTTGGGATGAATTGGTCTTCTGCTTGTAAGATTGTCTTGCTGAATGTTTTTTATTTTTGTGTAAGTTTCTTCTATTGATAGATCATCTCGAATGGTTTTTAATTTTGTGAGTTTCGATTGAGAAGATCCTTTTGTCGATAGTTTCATGTCGAATGGTTTTTATCTTTGTGTCTTGTGAATTTCGATTGAGAAGTTTATTTTGTCGATAGATCATCTCGGATGTATCTCGTCGTAGGAGAAAGTAACTAAGAATTTTTATGTCTTTTTCCACAGATTGTTCCAGTTCATCCAAGGCGCCAACTTAAACTCTTCGCGAATCCCAATGACAGCTCCCGTGCTCACCGGCATAGTCCCATCCACGGGCCCGTTTTGCTCCTCAACCTTCCGGGTCCGCTTCTTTCTACCACCGCAATTCGAAAAGTCACCTCCAGTGGCACTCCCGGAGCTCAGCCTCGCTCCCGAGTTTTGGCCCGAGCGATGCATCGCCACCCGCTCCTTCTCGGGCTTTGCCAAAGACGAGAACATCGCGGTGGAGGCCGCAAAGCTTGCCGCCAGCTTGAGCAAGACACTGTGGAGCAATGCTACGTCCAAGGAAACCATCTCCGGCGTCGACTCCTACTCTATCGCGCAGTACGACAGCCCTTTCAAGATCTTTAGCCGCCACAACGAAGTCTGGGTGCCTCTCGCGAAATGCTCGGCCGCCAAAAACTGTCTCCCAGAACGAGTTGCCGACGACAATACCGAAGAACGAAGAACTTCCTCCTAGAAAAGAAAAGAGGACTAGCGTAAATATCTAAGGTATGGCTTCTTTGCTGCTTGGTGGAGGTGTATTAATTTTCTTCCTACTCTTTGCAGCATAATTAGTGTAAGTGGCAGGCAGCTAGGATCCTTCATTCCAGCGCGCAAAAATCGGTTTTTCGTGTTCTCTCTCGGTCGCCGGCTCTCTCAGGTACTGTTCTCTAGAGATTTTTGTAGTATGCCACAGCAGCAAGCATCGGCAAGCTTCTTCCGGAGCGCTCAAGAACACGCTGGTGGTCCGCAATAATCCCCAGGTTCGCTAAACTCTTTTGCATCTTCTCCATTCTCCTTTAATCGCTTCCAGCAGAGAGGAGAAACCATGGAGAAGCTTGCTCGCCGCTGCTGCTACGTTTGCTGCTGCCTCATCGTCTCGATCCTCGTCGCGGTGGCAGTGATCGCCATCGTTCTAAGGGTCGTGCTCAAGCCCAGGGACGTGGACCTCAGCGTCACTCGCATGACGCTCCAGGAGTTCGAGGCGTCGCTAAACTTCCCGACGTTCACCCCGACGCTCAAGCTCGTCCTGGCCATGGACGTCCGGGTCTACAATCCAAACAGGGCCAGCTTCGCCTTCTCTAACAGCACCGTCTTGATGTTCTACCACGGCCAGGAGTCCGCGCGCACGCTCGTCCCCGCTGGGAGGATCCCGGCCAGGGACTCCGTGAACATCTCCACGGTGCTGGACGTGGCGGCCAGCAGGGTGATCGCCAATCCAAGCTTTGCGGGCGACGTGCGCGCGGGGATTCTGCCTGTGACCACGGAGAGCGCGATCAAGGGGCGCGTCAATGTGTGGAACATCTACCGGCATTCGATGGTGAGCGTCTCCAAGTGCCAGATCTTGCTGGCGGTGGCCAACCAGACCATCGCGAGCTACAAATGCGAAAACAAGAATATCTTCTAGGGGTGATTATTCGCCGGGATATTCTTTTTAGGGCTCTTGAGATGATTATTCGTTGGGATATTCGTTTAGTGTTGTTGATGTTGCATATTCTTAATTAAACTTTCACTTTTATCATCGCTGTTGAATTGGATTTCTTCTATCCACTTTGCCCGCACGAGTAATCCACTAGGCTCGTGTTGGCTGTGGAGATTTGGAGCTCGCAGATCGAGGACAGCACGAAGTGGTGCTTAAACAAGACCCACTTGTGGACAAATCCTGTCAAATTGGTCTCCACGCCCAGCAGCAAGGGAGAATCCCGTGGAGCATCGAATTCCCCATGAACGGTGGCCGACAGGTTTCTCCTCGCTTGCGGCTTGATCGTCCCCGGCGCAATCGCCGCCCGCCCGGCCGCCTTGTCGCCGCCGGGCAGCGAGAAGACGAACGAGGCGGCGTTGTAGTATGTGAATTTCCCGGAGAGATTGGGGTTGGAGAGGCAGAGCACTGTTGTTATCGCTCCCACGATCCTGGCCGACGAATTCCCCGATCTCGGAGTGGAATTGAAAGGCCTGGAGGAATTTTGAGCCGCTGCACTGCTGGTGGGCGACGAGAGATTGATCCGCACAGGCCTCATCTCCTCCAAAAACACCCAGCTGTGATCAATGTCGGCAGGCTCTGGCTTGAGCGCCAAGCCCACGACGAGAACAACAATCACTCCCAGTAAAACGATCAAAACGACGGCCAATTTCCAGTTCTTGCGCGTCGAATTCTTTGTCTTGAATTCCCTGCGTGGATTGCCGTGATCATAGCCCCCCTCCTCCTGAGCCATTGTTTTATTCCTTTTCTACATGACTGAACCAGATCTTTACTATGGAAAAATAAAATTGGATGGATAGAAAAGAAACTTAGATGGATAGGTTCCAATTCACTCTAAGCCCACCCAACATGTATCAATCAGTCAATCAATCAGTCAGCGTTTTCCTATTCTTTCGATCGAAATCCTTTACACCCTTCTGCTGGCGACCTATCAATTAGGCGGGGGCGAGCCACCAAATTCAAAGATATGAATTGGAAAGCTCCTCTCTCGCACTTTAAAAACCTAGACATGGACATATGATCGAGAGAGGGACGACGAAGAAGAACTTCTCTCTGGGACAAAGAAAAAACTAATATAAAGCTTTGAAGCTCTTGACAACTGTGGCTCCACGCGTTTGTTCTTGCGACTTTTCCGGTTATGAGGGAGGAGAGCGAGCGAGAGTTTGAGAGACCAAGGGATTTCTCAATCACATTCAAACAAGAAAGACAAGAGGGAGAAAAAGAGCTTCTCCTTTCGTGAAGGCCACTAAAATCTTCGTGTTGACGAACAGGGAGATGACTTCGGGAGGGGGAATCTTTGTATACAATTTTGAATTCACACCCACAATCTCCACACGGCTTTCCTGGAAACAAACCAAGTGTTCTTCCTCATCGAGGATATCGTTTTTAATGATCTCCTAGTGACATGGTTATCTTCTACAGTTGATCTTCTAGCACTGATAAGAAATAGACTCGTTCGGCAACGAGAGAGAAGCATGGCAGGATCTGCCAAGCTTGAAGTGGTGTTTAAACTTGGCCCATTTGTGAACATATCCAATCAAGCTATAGTGGACCGTGAGTGGAATTCGATGATTGATAGTAATGTTCTTGGTGTTCTTCCACTGGGGTCTTGCTTGACCCTTGTCGCTGCCACCAAAAACCACTAGAACTGCTGTTAAGTTCGTGCTCTTCTGAGACCCAAGAACACCGCTGCGCAGCTCAAACCGATCGATGGTCTCGTCCTGGAGCTCGAGCCAGAAGGAAGCGTTGTAGTAGTCAAAACTCGCGGCGAGGTTGGGATTCCGGAGTCCCAGCGTGGCTCGAATCGATATGGAACTGGTGCTTTGATTTCGATCGAATGGAGACGTAGAGCTGGCCATGGAGCTGGAATTAACGCTGGAACTCATGAGTTGCATAAAACAGTGCGTGATCTCCACGTTGTGTGCCACGAACACGAATCGAAAGAGCACCACGAATAGCACCAACACGAGAATTCCAACGGGAAATGCTAGCCGGAAAGATCTACACGACTTGGTCGATGGCTTGTAGATAACATTTTGCGTGACAATGTCGTCCATACCATGGAACTTGATATACAGTTCTTAGGGAAAGGAAACAAACTCTTGCAAACAAGTCTTGACAAAATCGAAAAAACTTTGGGCAGATTGACGATGCCTTTGAGTAGAAGATCTGTCTTTCCGTACGATTTGATCATGGTCACGCCAAAACTGATCCTTGTCGTGGCTTTTTTCTGCTGTGGGAGCAATCGAATCAGGGTGCATTCGCATGAGCTCCAGTGTCGAAGGTGGTGGACCACTCCAGGGTAACTTCATAGACGGCATTGCGATCCGATCACACATTTATGGTGTTGCAACAACCATCTTGCTGAATCACCTTCGAAACAAAATGTTAAGGTTCCTTGTGGGCTCCATAGTTTTGAGTGCTTAGATTACAAGGTAATATCTCAAGCATTATTGAGCTTAGACATCTTATCACTGATTTATTATACAATCTATTGAGCCAATAGTCCTTACTTCTTTGTTTCTTGAGGTTGAAGTGTTGGTATTACTTTTAGCTGATTCAATCTAACCATCATCATGAAGATCAGATCAAACTTTTAAAGGGGCAATTGCTTAATTGTATGGCCTAGTTGATGTTATTCTTCCCTCCCTCATGGAGCATTGGTGAGATCTTAGCCAATCTAGGCTAGATCATTTTTCCCTTCCACTGGAGAAGAATAATAATAATGATAATAAACCTAGGTAACTGCTAAGGAATCAAAACTATGGATATTGAGATTACCTTGTTAATGAGTCATTTTGGATATTTTTTTCATACTACCACAACAATAGGATATTAGTATTGTTAGTTCCTTTCTTAGTCTTTTTTGTTTTAATAAACTAAGTTTTGGCTGCATAAGCATAAGGAAAGAAGTGATTATTTATCCAAACATACTATATTTAAAAAATGTAAATAATGGACACTATAGTGTTATTCATGTATCCAATTTCAAAATATAAAACCATTCCATATTTATTAATTTTTTGAATTTATCCCAAAAACTATCTTGAAGGATTGGGGTGAAAGGCCAAAATGAGCTTTCATATAGGGGAGGAAAGGACTATAGAATTCAAAATATATAATAAGGATAGTAAATAGGTGTGGCATGGGAGATCACTTGAGGTTGTTTATTTTTATTTTGCATTTAGATTGAGTATAAGCCTAACCTCTATACCACTGGAATTGCGTACTAAAAAAATATTAAATTTCATTTCATTCCATTTTATATATTAGACTTAGTCTTAGGATTCTAGATACTCTACAACTATTCTAATGTTACTTTATACTCCTAATTCTTTTCCCTCCTTTGCATTAAAAATTCCTTCCTAATACCATGAAACTCAGGTTCCCATGGATTTAAGGATTAGGTTCTTTTTTGTGGTTATCCTATGATAATTCACCATAAGGTATATTATAAAAACCATATATTTAGTATTAGAACATTAATTTTAGCAAATACTATCCAATGAGATTGGGCAATATGATAATTTAAGTACCTCAAATTGTAATATCAAGTTGCTAATGTGCCTTATACACGTAAACTCATACAACTATAGATAAAAGTAAACCTCCTTTGAGTTTGTCATGAGTGGTAAATAGGCTAATTTGTAGTTGTTTAGGATAATACTAGTGGATCCTTCCTAGACATAATATTGAATTTATTCCCTTCAATAATATATTTCAAAGAATAATTGAGTATCCCTTTTATATGCAAATAAGTTTATATCAATAATTTATTTTTACCTTTTAAATGTTATATAGCTTTGCAAAAGAATCTTATTTTAAATTTTATAATTTTTAAATTCTGACAAAATTGATATTTAAAAAACCAAAAAGCACATAGTATGGATTCTAAGGAAGTTGACAAATTACTTTTTTAACAAATAAATACTATCTTATTTTATATTCTAACTTATCTATTATTATACATAGTAAATATTTAAATTCTAAGAAGTCTCTTCTACATTTTTATCTATATAAAGTGAAAATTTTCTAAATATATAATATAAAAAATATCTTAATTTTTAAAAATTAAAACTATACGACACTTAAAAATTGAGCTTAATTCTTGAACTCATGAGTTAAAGAACGGTCCACACTCGGCAACAACATCATCTTCAAGGAAGCTACTCACTATAGTTCCTACAGACATTTGCCATGGCATTCAATTTTCAATACTTGACATTGTCATGTTATACTATCAACAGCTTGGCTCTATGATACTAGGTTATAACATCTTTATCCAGAAGGACTTCTCATTAGCTAATAGCACTGATATACTCAGTTGAGGCAACTCCTTTCTCTTCTGATTTCACTTCCAGCATCACCACCTTTGTATCTACCTTCAACTCAATGAATGGAGCTCTCAATCTTTTGCATCAAGGTCTTGGACTTTGGCTTGCATGGCAAATGTTCTGGTCCAGGAGAGATTCTGGGAAAGCTGAGTGTCTTGTAGAATCTCAACTCTAGAAGCTAATATTCTGCAGCTAGTTGGACCTGATGTACACATAGGAGCCTAGACACATTGGACAGATGGTGTACTTGCCACCTCTTTTTCAGAAAGTTTTGCAGCTAGTTATAATAATAATTCAAAAGCACAAAACATTATAATACCGTGGCTACCAATCCTGACATCCACAATCCCCTCCACTACTTTTTACCAACATCCACACTTTTCTCTCATCCAAATCTAGGGCACATATTTCTCTCATCCTTCCATGCAACTTGGGCAATTTAAGAAACTGTTTGGAGGGTTACGAGCCCACAAGGCTGTGATCTAGGTGAGCACTCTTCTTCTAGCTTTGGTTCCCATTCACTTTCCTATAATTCTCTTGTCACCTATTACTTCTTCACACCTTGCATTTTGGTTTTCTCCTATTATTTTTTCTAGACTTCGCATTCATAATTTATATGGTTTTCTTTGTGACTCCAAACTCTATCCCTCTTCTATTTCTTTTGTTTCTTTACTTCGTTTTGGTTTCTCCAGTTTTCTGTAGTTCCCC